GGCAAAAATGTTTGTGATAAGCACAATTACCAACAAAAGCACCATTATTATATACTTTTCTATTTTAAAGCAATGTCAGTTCATACTGCATTTCCCCCCAAACATTAAAAAATACAGCAACACTGGGAACATTAAAGTAACACTAGGCAGTCTCGTAATGTATTTTGCAATATTTTTTCCTTTCATTGTTAACTGCTACCAGTTGTTGGTGTAACCATCACGAAAACGAAAGGCTCTGCTAGTCATAAATACTATGATTATAATGAGAATGATTCCCCTCAAGGGAAGATGAGGCTGTACTGATTCAGGCTGTTCCTGATCCTGATGTCCAATCACGAATGACAAGAACATTGTGTTCGATCTTCTGCAAATCTCATTTTGTAAAGAATAACTTGATTATTTATTGGGGAACTATTGATTTCAGAGTAATGGTTGAACTCTGAGCGAATTATTTGTCAGAAGTAGTATGTAATCAGGAACACTACTGTGACACTATCCTGTACTTGGGAATAAAAAATATTTAACATCAGAGACTACATTTTATCTTCAGATTTTTTGCATAAACGGCAGTTAATGGAATGGACAAATGCTTTTGCCAATGTACTGTATTCTGTAATTCATGCCTGAACTGTGTAGGTTGGTGTTTAATGCAGGCTGGTTTTTTGGCACAACCTTGCTTTGCCTCTAGATATCTCTGCTTTGAGTGCAATACTTCATCTAGAGAAAACCCGCAGTAGAACCACAGATCCCTTTCAGCCTCACATGGCCTTTAGGGCAGAGTCGTGTCCCTTAATGGTGGGACAGTGATTCTGAAAAGAACTTAAAAGTCTTGGTAGATAACTAGTTCCACATGATCTCTAGTGTGAAGCAGTAAGTAAAATGTTTGATGCAACCCTTATTCTGGCTTCCCTATAGCAAGATTTGCAATGTTAGCAAAACTGGGTAAATTTATGTTGATTCTTTCTTTGTTTTTCAGCAAGACAGTGAGACACCATTTGCCACCATGTTTAGTAGCTGTTAGGCTACATAAATATATCTAAACTTTCTAGACTCCATTTGTGAATTTGGGTCTCCAGCACTAGTGAATATCCCGTGTTAGTGAATCTGACAACTGAATTGTTTGCTAGGTAAAAACCTACTTCCTTCTTCCTTTAAAATCTCCCACAACATTTAACTGGGAGTATGTTGCTTTTTGAGATACAAGAAATAATGAATATCTCACGACACTCAGTATAGAAGCTCTGTCAGATCTCTTCATGTGGCCAAGTGTTTTCTGTTTTCCTAATGTGGGTGGACTTCCATATTTTCCTATATACCTGAACAGCATGCTGCTTTTCTCTATGATTCTTGTTTCATTGTCTGTGAACCTTGTTTTTAGGGCTGACAGAAAACAGTAACAATTTTCACCCCCAAATAATTTTCTGCAGCCTTTTCCAATAAACAGTAATTATCTATAGTTCTCTGGCTTGTGGTGGTTCCTGCTGTAGCAATAATCAAAACAGATAATATTTTCTCTAGTCCTTTGCTAACATTTTTACTCTTATAGATAAATCCAAAATAATTCCATTGACATCAACGGAGCTACTTCAGATTGGCATGGCTGAAACTGAAAATATCATAATGATACCACTAAGAGCATCCTGTTTGAGGAAGGTTTTGTTGAAGATATAATTTCATAAAATTATATTTTATGAATATATAAAGAAGATAAGAGAAAATGCATCTTCAAATTGGATTAAATTTGCTATTAATGCTATGAAGGAAAAGTCAAGAGAACATTACTCTGTCAGGCCATAATTGTACTTTTGCAGCTCATCAAGTCTTTCCCATGACATATCTGTAAGCTTTTTATGTGTGCCAGCTTTCATATACATTGTTAAGGCTTGAATTGTAGCTGATATAATTGATTTTATTCTCCTGAGGTCTTATTCCTTCTTAATACCAGGTGTCACAGGTATTGACATTGCCCTATCAGAATATCACTCTGTTAATGAATTAGGCTCAGGATATCTAAATGATGGGGTAAGTCCCCATAATAGCTTCTTTAGGGTAGTAACTATGACGTTTTTAAAACAGAAATAAAGCTTATCCTTTACATGTGCACGGTATCTATAGTAGTACTGGCTGTATGCTTGTAGACGAGTAAGATGCACTTTACAACAGGATGTAACATCAGTGCAGTTTGCCGAGCTGTACCACTAGGTGGAGGCAGATAATGCATAATTCACACCTAGTGAGCCGGGTTAAGTGTGCCATTGGCAGCCGTTTTCTCCAAGGGAGATGTCCTATATGGGAATGGAAGAGCAACAGGAACTCGAAAAGAAATAAGATGCTGCTGGCAGCTCATCAGTGTACCTTTGCCCTCTCTGAAGACAATAATCTTGGCTCTTACTTTGGTTCACGTGCCGTGGATATGCTAGCTTGGCACTGCTGCCTGTCTGACATACATCCTTCAAGACACAAGCCTCATTGCCGCCTGTGCTGGCCAGTTATTATTATGTTATTATTATCGTTGTTGTTTGTTGCTATTTGCCCTTCCTTTTCCGTCCTAGTAAACTGTCTTTATCTCCATCCACAAAGTTTGCTTTTTTTCCCATTTCTGTCCCCCATCCCACTGAAGAGGTTGGAGTTTAATTACCTGCTGGGTTAAACAGTGTCAGTCCTTTTTGGCACTAAACGTGAGGCATGAAGGTTTGAGATAAGGACAGATCTGACCAGAGCATGTTGAAACAAATTTGTCGTAAGTATTCATTGTATTAGTTTAATAGTCAGTGATCACAATGTTGATTTATTTGCTCTCAGAGTTACTGTGCGTGTTCTCCAAGCCGCATTGTGTAAGCCGTACATGTTCCCTGCTGTGCCGTTTATCACCTCTGAGGAGCAGGTTAACATTATTGTTTTGCTATACTATGTAACACTGGCTTATGAGACGTTAAAGTTTCTGGTTGTGAGACTGAGCAGGTGTTTGTGCTCATCATCTCCGTGCATTGGGAGCCATCTGTCGGAAACTATTAATAATTACACATTTCACCTCGATAATTTTGATGAGTTTTAATATCCTCAGGATGTTCAAACCAGCATGATCCTATTGCTATGTCTCCTGAATGTGTTTCAGGTCCTGTTTAGGGTTATTGTCCTGATTTCAACTGTGATAGATTTTTTCTTTCTAGTTTTTGCTGTGGGATTTACGGTGCTGAAAAAAAATCTCCCGGAGCAATTAATTAGGGGTGAGATAAGAAAGTGTTTATTTGCCAAGGCTAAGATGTTACAAGACGCGTGCTGGCCGTGCCTAAGAGGTTACATTTTATAATACCATCCATCCAATCCCAGATGTGTCCACCCTGTGGCCTTTACTCTGGTCCGCCCCGGGTCCACCCCCTTAAAATGGGTCTGGGGTGTATTTCCGGACCCCTCATTCATCCCATCTTCACCATCATCAGAGCACAAAGGGTACATAGTTACCTAATTTCTGACCTATTCTGTGGTTTAGGCCCAGATATGCTGTTCTGTCAGCTGTCTAGGCCTTGCCTTGACGAAAGACTAAACATTTCTATTGTATTCAGAAGTAGGATTGATATGGGGAGCATAGAATGGGGTAAGAGGGTTAAGGAATGTATAAACAAGGGTGCTACAGGGAAAGGGATAGGGACAAGGGATGCTGCTTTTAGAGTCTACCTATAAAACTTACAAGGCTTACCAATATTAGAAAAATAAAAAAAACCATTAGGGGCTTAAGGCATCAAGTAGATGATACATATGCTGTGTTTTGGCTTTAGCATGAGAATAATGTTGATAACACATTAATGTTTTATTTGTTGCTGAGGAACATTTAAACTAAGTCAAGGACTTTACAGCTTCTTACTCCACCCCGCTGGTCAGTAGGATGGAGGTGGAAAAGAATCTCTGAGGATACACAGCCGGAACAGCTGATCCCTGAGAGCTGACCAAAGGGATATTCTACACCATATGGCATCATGTTCAGCATATAAACTGGGAGGAAAGCTGGCCATGGGCTTCTGCTTGGGGACTGCATTGACATCAGTCTGTGGGTGATGAGCAATTGCATTGTCCCTCCCTTGTTTTGTATATTGTAATTATTATTATTTTCCCTTCTTTTTCTCTGCTATTAAAGTGTCTTTATCTCAAGCTGCAGAATTTTTTTTTTTTCTGATTTCTCTCCTGCATCCTACTGAGGGGGGCAGGGATTGGAGGAGTAAGTGAGAAGCTGTGTATGTTTACTCTTGGGCACTTGGTGTGACACTGGGGGATGGTCCTGTGCAGGGATAGGAGTTGAACTCTGTGATCCTTATGGATCCCTTCCAACTTGGCATATGCTGTGATGTTCTGTGAACACAGGTTTATGCCTGTCTGTACTCATTTTTGTTTTCTGGAAATGTGGTGTTAATCTTTCACAGGAGAGAAGGAGAATTCCTGTTTATTTTTTTTTTTGTTTTGGTTTTTGGTTTTTTTTCTCCCTTTTAATTTCAAAATACTTAAGAGATGTTGGAATATCACAGAGTACAATGGGATTCCCAGTCCACTACTTCTCAAACCTGCTCCTCTGGCAAGCCAGGGAGGACATGAAGCTGAAAAGCTTTTCCCTTTGGGAAAGCATCTCAGGCCATACTGAAGGAATCACTGTGGAGACCTCCTTTATGTTAAGCCATATGGCAAGCACACTGTGATTCTGAGGAGGCAGCAGTATGTACTATGAAGTGCCAGGACATGCATGGGAACTGAAAGCAAGCCAGGAAGAGGGTTTGTTCTTACATCAGTAAATGCATGCAGGCTCTTTAGGTACTTATAAATCTATTCAGAAAGATATTTGTCTGACTGTCTATCATGCATGCAGGAGTTATTTAATCCCCCAGTGAAATGCCAGAAGAAAAATGAAAACATTTGAAAACAGAGTATACGTGCTTGGGGTTTTTTTTAAACTTCTTTTTATTGTTAGGTGAAATTGCGTAAGGTACAAATAAATCAAAATAAAAATTCAGGGAGAGAAAGTGCAGCCCAGGAGTTTACTGCCTTAATTAGCCAGAAGTTTTAAATTGTTTTGAAAGACCAAAACAGTGAGATGTGAATTCCTTGACCTTTGCTAAGCATTTTCTTCAAGAGTTTGATGACTTTTTCCCTGTGGAAAAGAAGGACAAAACATTGAGACTGTACTTGAAATTGACAATGCAGACAATGATGTTTTATTCTTGGTATTCCTCTAGCATGCCCTGAGAAAGGTGGTGCCTAAAGAAAAGCAAAGCTGGCAAAGTTTGCCTTGTGGGGTCAATTCTAATAATATTCCCCCTACTGCTGTGAAGTTTCTGCCTTCACTTAACTTGTTAAGTGGCACAGTATCTCTTATTTCCTGCCAGTAGCCCCACTCACTGAAATAACTCATTTGCAGAGCAACGTCCACAGGATTTACTTGGCAATATGTAGGTGTGCAGAAAGACAGTGTACCCCACCACTGCACTGCTGCTCTGTCACCCCTTGATTGCGTGGGGACACATTACAGAGGACACATAGTGGATGGAGTATGCAGGAATGTGTTTTTCTCAAGTTTGTTCCCCTTCTTTCTTTTTAGTAGTATGATGAGGCCCTTACAGTCAGGGAGAGTAGTGAAAACTGTACCCCAGTAGGTTTTATACTGAAAATCAAATCTCACAATGAATTTACCATATAACTTCTGAATTCCTCGCCTGTCGTCCGCTGGAAGTCTGAAGGTTGCTGGGTTCTCATATGAGTAGATAGGGTACATCAGAGCTCCACGGACATTTGAATGAGCAAGTCCCAAAGAATGGCCAAACTCATGAGCAGCAACAAGGAACAAATTAACCTCTTCAGCACAGAAGCAGAGAAAAGTATGTTAAAGGTATGGCATTTCTTTTTAGAATACTATGAATTGAAATAGCAGGAGAATTTGCATCTTTCATTCATCTTGGAATGAAACCCCAGGGTTTTGATCCATTATTGCTGAACTTTCTTATGTAACTGTAATATTTTATAGAAACATTACTGGTCCTTTGCATACGCATCTAGAGACTCTGACTCCCTTTCCAACTGTGCTTATAGTCAACCTTAATCCTACAAGCAGGTCAATTTACTTTTTCATGGTTTATGTAGAAAACAGAGGCTCATAGTCCTTGTTTAACCTGTGAAAAGTGCTTTAAAATATGGACAGAGCAGGCATTATGTAGCTGCTAATCGTAATGAAGCACAACTACTTGGAAAGGTAGTTGAAAAGAACACAAACGTTGGCATTGAAGCTGTACATAAGTGTCAAGAGTTATGGAAAACATTTCCTGTGTCTATGTTCTTCCAGCATGTGCAATATTTGTCTTTCCCCTTCATGCACACATGTGGGCTTTACCTTGATTGAACTCTGACCATTTTTCGTCCTCATCAAAATGAACATCTCCACCAATCCCTTCTCCAGGTGCAAATGCATGGGCTAGTGTGTTACCTCTTCCATCAAAAGGATATCCATCACCATGCTCTGCATTTGAAAACAAATAAATGTCATCATATGACATCAGGTATTATATTTAAATTCATCAAATTGAAGCATGTTGCTTGGTTTTGCTAGTTTTGTTGGTTGCCCATCCTTAAAAAAAAATCCTACAATGGCAGCAATGTTGTGAAAATGAGAAGCAAGGCTTAGGAAACGCTCTCCAAATTAATGACTTAAGTTCAAAACTTGTATTTGATGGTTCAGGCTGCTTCATGTTTCAGAAAGGGCTGAATTTTTTTTTTCTGAGCCTTTGTCAGAAGTGTGGTTCTGAGGCAGGAATCAGGGATTATTTCAGAATAAGTATTTAATGCTTGACAGCATTGCAAAGACCTGAACATTTTCAGTGTTGAAAAATGCTGGGCAACCTTTGTTGTAGACATTCTCACTTGCACTGATTTTAGTGTGAGACAGTGATGTGGAATAGATAACTATGTTCCTAAGTTCATTTATCCCCAGCCTTGGGATATGGTCTATTATCCACTTCTATCATAGTACAGATGGAATATTACTGTTTCCTACCTTGAATGCAAGAACTGTACAAGAGTTGTACCAAGTCTGAAAATTTTCTCCTACCTCACAGTAGTCTCTAACTCTATTGAGGAGTATTTGGGGACTCAAATGCCATTCTGTCCCCTTTCCCCAGGACCATGTGGATGGACCTTGGGGCAGGGCTAACACAGGCAGAAGAAACCTAATCCTAGTGTGTGACAATGGAATAAAACCCATTCCAGTTTGCAGGATCGCCTCCCACTTTGACTGTCACATTAAGTCACCTCTTTATGGCAACGTAATATTCTTCCCATCAGCGACATAGGAGCTTTGGACATTTTAGTGTTTATATGCAATCATCTGCTTGCCAGCCAACATGTCCAATCTTCATTTATAGTCAATGGAGCTCTAGTAAATATTGTCAATGGATCTAGAGAACAAGTCAGATAACCTTAAAGTAGGCATTTATTTTGTCTAGGCTGAGTCAGTTTAGGTTCCAGGCACAAGTTAAAGGTATGGCTAGCCTCATATAATATTCCAGATCACAAGCGAACTTCTGATGTGACTTTACTGGTCATCCCCATTTGCCATACTTTGTCTTGCACCTTGGTGCAACCTTGGAGTGTAAAGCAACCAGAAGATACTCTCTTTGGCCAAACCTAAGAGACCTCATCTGATGAAGGCTGTTTAATCCAGGGAACTATACTAGATCTAGACTAAAGATCTAGATCTACACCAAAGATCCAGGGAACTATACTAGATCTAGATCCCTAACCTGCTGGAATCCAGCCTGTGGAGGCTGGATCTTTGGAACACACTGGTTTGCTCTACAGAGCTCTTCCTGTTAGTTTACGCTATTTATCAAGGCAAACAGAGCCTTGAACATCTAAATTTAAGTACCTCTTTCTGGAGCTGAATTCTCCCTTTCATAGCCGTGGCTCTGAAAGAATTTTCTAATGGTTTCATATGAGTAAAACTGAATCATGGCATACAAATTTGGTGACATGATAAATAGAAGGTAAAATTTATGAAGACTTCAATATAATTACAAACTCTTTGTTCTTTCTTAAAACTATGGCTATAAAAATACATGCTTTGAGTCAAATATGGACCATTGTATTTTAAAAAGGACAGGTATTCTCACCACGACGTGCAAATCCAATCTCAATGTCTGCACGGCCACTCTGTACTCTTTGGAAGTTCAGTGGAGTCACATCACTCCATACCATTAAAGCCTTTCTAATTGCATCATCCACTTTCCTTCTGGGTAGGTCAGGAGTATAATTGACAATCCTGGCAGCAAAAGGAAACAGATTAATGTCGTTTAGGGTGTGAAGGAAACCCACATAGTTAAATACAAACAACCCTTTTCCTCATAAAACCTAAACTTCACTAACTTGTAAGTCAAATGTGTTTTTTTCCATCTTGGAGTTCCAGGAAATGTTTGGTATTCTGCTATATCGGGCATTCCACATCTGGGCAGTTTGATTGTTTCTTCTGTTTCTGTATTTAATGTTCCAGTTACGGTCAGGTGGAAAAACCTCTGCATTTCTTTAATCCTGTCTTCTAAGCTTAAGGTTTTTGTTTTTGGAAAAAGTGGAAAGAATTTATCGAGATATACCTGGAAGAAGAGAAGGAAAATAAAAATTATTACATATAGCTGTGAAGTTTTGATGATTGCATTTTATTTCTGGTTGAATTGTTTCATCATCCTACAGTCATGTATTTTTTCTTCCCATTTCAGTTCACCAAATTCTGTTCTCTCTGTAGTATAAATCAACATATATAAAAAGAATTGCAATAGCAATGAAACATTGTAAGCAAGAAATCCTTTAAAGCAAACACAATTTATTGAGCATGCAAATCTACAGCCTTCCAACACAGTCTACATAAAGTTTTTGAGATGTTTTAAAAATTACATGCTCCTTTTTATTTACCAATTGCAACTTGGTCTGTTTTGTAAGTTGGATTTAGAGTGTCTAAGCTAGTCAGCAAGTTTAAATTGCTCTTTGTCATCTCTGCAAAAACTGTTGTGGTAATGTAAAATAAGGACAATATAAATAGCTAGGAAAGGAATGTAGACACTGAATCAAAAATCAGATTATTCATCATGCAGTTACATTTTTCCCCTGATAACATACCTTTACTTTCTCAAGGTCTACGTTGCTCCATGGTTCTAGTTTCATGTGTACTGGAAAAGCAAGACTCTCAGGTAGGAGGATGGCAGCACAAAGTAGGAGGTACTGCATGGTGCCCAGCTTGGTAAGGAGCCTTGCTGCAGCAGAAAAGGTCTGACTTCTGTCTCCCAAGACCACAGCTAAAAATGCTTATATAGATCCTGATAGGTCCAAGTAGCAGTTACATTATGTGACTCACTTTTTGGTGGTGTTGATGTAATGTCATCACTGTTCTAAGAAGTAAATGAAAGCACATTAAACAAATCTTTCCTGCAACTTCCCCATCGATGTCACGTCACAGCTAGCAGCCAGCTTTGTCTCTCTCTTTTCATATTATTCCAGTAGTGAAACCACAAAGTCACGGGGAAGTTCTCTTTCTGTAACTTTATCAGTACAGTTACTGTGTAATCACTTCTTACTGAGCTTCTCCCATGTTCCTTATACGAAAAGGTATTTTGCAACAGCCCTTTGGCTGCCTGCCTGTATCAATTGGTGTAGAGGCACACGATATGTATGTGAGCACTATCTCAGTGAAACTGCTGCCATTACTACCGCCATTCCTTAGTACCATGCACAACACTGCCCAGTTCAGTAAACTTTAAGAGGTTTCTGCAGTTTCCACAGAAATCAGAAGAGAGCTCTTTAAATGTGCCCTCTAGAAATGAGGACATGAGACACCTTTGTCCCCTGCCTACTAAAGATGGCCTTTCAGAAGAGTCTCTTTACATTGGAGAACTAGATATAAAACATAGCTTACAAGAATGGGTGAAAATTCTCAGGGTAAAGAGAGGAGCTTACCCTAGCAAAGGTGGAGCTGTCTTCTACCACCAACTGTACCAGTGCAATCTGACAGAGGTCCATGAAGCGCTGCAGAGAAAACCAAAGGGGATCAGGGAAGCCACAACCTCTCTGGCCCCTTTGCCAACAATGGTCTCATCTTCACTCCATTAAACTTCACTGGAGAGTTTTTGAGGCCTGAAAACACCAGTTCACAGGCTGGTTTGTGATTTTTATTTTAGGGTATGCAGTTCTGTGATCATATTAGCTCTGATCTGAAAAGGAGAACCACATAAATAGGAAAAGATCGTTAGTATTTCTCACACTAGGACAGGTCATATGGGCATAGATGAACACATATAGAAGAGTTTGTGAGTTACTATCTTATGATGTTCAATGTATTTTTGGTTGATGTGATGAGAAAGAATTTAACTTCAGAGAGAGATGATCTATACCAAAACACTGCTGAACTATGCAAGAGAGGAATGCAGTACACAACTACATCTGAAATAGTTGATAAAGGAATGATGCTGTCACCTGATATTGAAAACAGCCCAGATATCCACATATTATCATTTCTGTACATTTTGGTAGGCTTACAGGAAAAATATCCATGTCCAAATTGTAAAGCTTGATGAAAAAAACCAACCTGTTTTATTGCTGGGACCAGGTTCATCCTTTTCTTTTTCAACAACAGGCTTAATGCCAGACTGTGGTAGTAAAGTTGGATCCAGACCAGGGTCTGGGTTGAAGGAGAGGAGGATGTGTTTAAACCACTTTGAACTCCATGACTCCAGTGTCTGGTACGGATTATTTCCTCATAGACACAAGAAGAAGGCTTCAGAGCTCCATTACAGTTGATGAACTGTTGAGCAAGTCCCATTTATCTTTAATTCAGCCATGGGCAAAACTGAAAAGGAGGGTTTAAACACAAGAGCTTGATGAAAAAGGACATGTACCATGTTCCATTTCATTTTCTGCTGGAAGCTTGTCAACTCTGATCTTTTTTTTTTTTTCCCCAAAAAGAGAGAAGATTTTGATGAACATTGGGATTGAACTGAAATAAAAAACTTTCAATAAAAAGAATTTTCAGTTCTTTGGGCTCAAAATCAGCAGGAATCAATCTAATTCTAATAAGATCAATATAAAAAAGGAACAGATGCTGATTTTAGATTTAGCAGTGTGAATTTTACAGACTTTATTGCTTTGTCTTGATCTTGAATGATAAAAATTATTGTGGGTCAGGAAAGATAATTTCCTGCCCAAAAAGCGTAGTCATATGATTTGTATTCAGCAGAGAGCCTATACATCTGTGGGAGAACATGGCCAGTTTAGAGAAAATTTAAGGAGGTCAGAAGAAACACTGTTAAAGATGTTTAATAAGAGAAGTTGCTGTAGCTACACGGTGATGACAGAAATGTTCCATGGTCTAAAATTCTGTTAAGAAGACTCACAATATTGCCACTGGAAAGTTTACACTGTGACATTTTCTGAGTAGAGTAACCCTACTTTGAACAAGGATGCTTCATGAAACTATTTCCTATATGAAATTCATTGATGGGCACCAGGGCTTTTGAGTTCTAGAGAAAAATACATATATAAAAAGTAAGACCAGAGCCTCCTCTGGACATGAGTAGGATGAAAAAGTGCAGTAGATCTAAATGATTCAGTGGTGAATGATTGCTGTATCTTGGTAATTTGGCTTGGATAGACAACTCAGCTGGATTCTGCCCAATCTGGATGCAGCCAACAGAGTTAACAAAAGTCAAGAGCTGCTCAAATATATTCATGAATATTATGGGTCTATCTAGGATAGAATAAATTTGTTCATATCAGTCTGTATGATGCTGCATTTCGATTTGTGGCTTAACCAGTTTTTGATAACACACCCGTGCTTTGGGTATTGGTGAAAAGTGTTTGTACAATGTCAAGACTTTCTCAGTTCACACTCTGCTCTCACAGTGTATGGTAGAGACTGTGTGGGAAACGGGCACTTCCAGCACAGTTAACCTGAATTCTCCAAGGGGATATTCCATATGATATAATGTCATGCTCAACAATAAACCTGGTCCAGCAGCAGAAGAAGGTGGAGTGAGGGTTGTCTTCCAAGGCAGTAATTTCCTGAAGGCTGGCTGGACATTAATCTGGGGAGCAGGTGATGAGCCTGTGCATCACTTCCCCCCACTTCCCCCCCTTGCTTTTCACTTATTAAACTCTCTTCTGCACTTCATAATATCTCACCCATCCCCCCCCTGCATAAGAAAGTGACTATGTGGGTGATTAGCATCAGAACTGGCTGTTGTTTACCCACTACAGTGAATATCAAGGAAAAAGAATGTCCAAAAATTCCTGAGAAATGTTTTGTTTGGGTGATTTGTGAACTATGTAATATAGTATGTGAAGTCCTACCAAACTGGATTGACCTGTTTTTCTATGGTATGCAGAACACATGATCAGTTTTGTTATTTGATTATTCATTTTGACTAATAAAAAATAAAATTCAAACATGGCAAATATTTTTACAGAATAAAATATTTTTTCACACTGCAGTTTCTGAGGCTAAGTCCAGCAAGGCACAGTCTCATTCAGAACTTTCCTAGTGTTTTTCCACAAAATAACCCTTCATCCTTCTTCTTGTCTCGTCTTCTCATGGTACAGTCATGGTTGTTACAGGCCATTTTTCTTGTCAGAGGCCTTGACTGTAGAGGGAGGCACATCTCCACACCTTCTGCACACAGTTTCCTCAGATTCTAGAGACCCTGAGGGTGTCTCTTCAAATAAGTACCTTACCATCTGTGATACTTTTACAGACTTTATTGCTTTGTCTTGATCTTGACCATCTGTATCACTTTTACAGGCTCTGTGTTTGTAAAAACCTCCAGTCATCTCTGTCTGGGCATTGAGGTCCTGCCATGACCCCTCAACAGCGTGTCAGCCTGTCCCCGGAGAGGCAAACCAGTTCTTCCCTCCTGTTTGGCTGGATCCAGATGCACTGAGCTATTTCTCAGAAAGATCTACTTCACATCTCACTGCTTTAGGGAAGGAAAGGCCTGAGGAAGGGATTAGATGTTCAGGTTTAGCACAAACAATGTGGTGACAACTAGCACAACTAATTCACTAATAATTAAGCAATCAAACTTAATACATCTCAACTTGTTGATTTACCATTTTCTCACAGTATCTAGAATTCCTTCACATTTAATGACTTTGTATTTACAACAGTTTAATTGGGACATAATGTGGGAAAAAGATGCAAATATAGAGATAAGTTTTTACCATAATAATCTTGAGCAATAAACAACAAGAGAAACAGCTTTCCTGTAAATGTTACCTACCTGTGTGAGTTCTAACACCCTTGATTCTTTAATCTGTCTGCTCCTTTGGTCAGTGATCCAACATCTCTCTTTCTTCCAGCTGACACACACATATGGATCTCTCAAAAATTTCTGTATAATAATTGGTTTTATTCAATTTAAATTGAAGTCACAGCTATAACCTTTAGTTGTACACAGAGTTTCTGCCCTCAAGAAGCATATGTACAGGACATGAGGAAGGGAAGACGACAGGAGGTCAGTCAGCTGCATTGCACTGCAGTGTGGGTCAAAACCTGGCTAGGCAGGACAAATGTCATAGCTTTCATTTGAGAATTCACTTTCTGTAGCTGGCTGTCCACATCCATTTGTAAGCCTGTCATGACACTGTCTTTAAATGACTGAAACAAGATGTAATCTAAAGCAGTGCATACATCTTGTCTTGATAAAATCATATAATTTCATCTAGGAAATCTTTAACTTAGTAGTTGGATTGAGATAAACTCAGAGTACCTGTAAACCTGCAGCAAATCTCTGTGATAAACTGCAGAATCCCACCTAAAGCAGAGTGATCATATAGTGTTGTTGTAAGGGCAGGCAGAGTAGCTGTGACAGCACAGGAGGCATGCTGGACTTGATCTGCCCACACTGACTGTAACCCAAAAAAGGAGCAGTCAATGTCTGAAGCTCTTTCTGACTCATCCTGATGATCTGCACATATCCGTACATGCTGGGACAGCACAGTGAGATTGGACTTTGGTGATTATGGAGAGCAGTGTTTGAAAGACAGGACAGACACAGAATGACTTTACTTATGCTGAGCCTAATGGACTTGTATAGATCTTTGGAAAAAGTGCTGGAAATATAAATGACATTAACCAAAATTTTGTATTTCACCTGATTTGTAAAATCCTACTTCTATAAAAAAATTAAATAGCCCTGAAATACCAGAGAATTGATGCAAGACTTCATTGTAAACTGACATGCAGTAAAGTAATTTCAGAGGAATTACAGGCTGACCTCCAGGGTTTTAGGCTCTAGTACAGAAGGTGTGAGATTGAATTTGAATGTAGTCAACTCAAGACCAGTGCAGAAGCTTGATTTACCTCATATGTATTAGACAGAGCTGAGATTCAGTCAGGATGATTGCAAAAGACTAAAATCAGGCAGTGTTGGATCAAGAGTTGGACTTGATGATCTCGGAGATCTTTTCCAACCTGGTTGCCACTATGATTCTATGACTCTATG